TTACATCGAGGGCTGAGAAAAGGTTTGAATACGGCCATTGTGTCTCGCAACTGTGCGTAGTTAGCCACCTGGTTGACGAGGCCGAACCAGCTCCTGATGTCTGTCGTTGATGCTGGAGAGGGGAAGTCGCGGATGGCATCCAGGTACTTGGGGAGCGGTTCGATTGTTGCGTCCGATATCTGGAATCCGGCAAAGCAGACGCTTTTTCCTGCAAACTGGAACTTATCTGGGTTGAGGACGATGCCGGACTGGCCAACTCTGGTCAGGAAGTCGATCGTTCTCCACCAATGTTGTTCCAGGTCGGTGTCGTAGTGTATGGTATCATCCACACAACGTTCCTTTCGTTCAAACTCCGAGAGGATGGCACTGAAACGGCGATTGTATCCGTCTCCTGAGGACAGGAAGCCTTGCGGCGCCCTAGTGTATCGCCAGCGTCCAAATGGTGTGATAAACGTGGTTAGATGGCGATCGGATTCTCGCAGTGGGACGCTGTGATAGCCATTCCAGGCATCCGTGACCGTCTTCCACGTGTTCTTTGGGATTCGTCGCGCCAGGTGGAAGGGTGACTCATTGGCGAAGGTTTCGCGCTGACAGAACTTGTTGAGTGGTGATAGGTCCACAGTCCTGCGGGGTGAACCGTCGTGCTTCCGCTGGACCACCATGCGGTGGCACCAGGTCACTGGTTCCCCATATGGCACTCGCTCGACAACTCCAAGTGCCTCGTCGCGGAGGAGGTCCTCGTAGACTTTCTGCTGCCAATGGAGAGGTATGATGGCTGGTTTGTGACATGCCTTTGGTGTGGCCTCTGGATCCACATGTATCTCAACTGGAGGTCCTGCCATGCAGGGCAATGCTCGATGAGGGCAAGTGTTGAAGGTTGAAGAGGCGAATTGTTCGAGGAGCCAGGCTTTCATTCTTTCATTGTTTTCTGGGGTGCACGGAAATGGTAGCTCGTTGGGGCGTTGTGGTGGGGCTGTGCGCAGAGGGCATGAACACGTTGTGTCGTTGGCATTGAGTGGCGTAGTACAGCCATCGTTGATGAACCTACTGGCGTCGATGGATGAGGTTTGTTGTGGTTTATGGACGCTGTCGTGGGCGTGTATACTGTGGAGGGGTGTCTTTGTGTTCTATCTGGTAGGAAAGTGCTCGCCCAGTAGGTCGAGGTTGAGCAGTGATTCGTAGGATAGGTACATGTCTTGAACAGAGCTGCTTACATATACCATTGAGCGGCAGGTTGTTTCGACGCCGTCTCGTTTGGCTGCTGTTAGTGTGGCAAAGAACGCACCCTCAATGGCGATTGGGGAGCGGTTGGCGGCTGAGAGGCTAAGACTGACTGGTCGAAGGTCATCACGGGAAAATCCACAGGCAGTGAACTCCTCTAAGGACCAGAGGTCTGATTGTGCGCCGGTATCTGCGATTGCAGATACTTTTGCCTCTTTGTTAAAGCAGTGGTTGTGAGATCGGTTGTTTGGTCTGTCAACGGTGATGGTGATGGACACTCTGGGGTGTTCTCTGAAGCGAGCTCTTCTCCATTCGCCCTTSGAGAATATGTGATGATCTAGTTTCGTTGATGGRGGCCTGTGGATTGTACTATTTGTTATGRTCAGGTCMTGTTTATTGCGTGKAGTGCGCTGTCTTCTTCGGCGSCGATGACTGTTGTGTGTGCTGTGTCCGCTGACTGCTRTGATTTGGGCGATAGGCTCAGATTCTAGTGCCTGGATGTTGGCGGGTTTTTGGCGTCGCTTTCGTCTTCGGGCCCTGTAGCAGTTTATACATACTTGATGGGGCTTTGTGTTCCATCCTCGCGCTCCTTCTGTGAAGGTTTTGAAGGKACTCTTGCAGTCGGGGCAAATTGCCTCTTTGGCTTGATCTGGATGTGATGGGGCTGCAGAGGGTTGTGTTCTTCGTTGTTGCTGGCATGATGGTGGGAGTGCATTTCGGGCCATTTCTTTATTTTCCACCAAGGCAATAACATCGTTCACCGCTTTCTGCAGGATGTCTTTGGTCCCGAGTACCTCGCGACGTATGTCGGGGTCGTAAATGCCGTTGAGTAGTACGTCTCGGAGGATGTGRTCTGTATAGTTAACWGTTTGTCCGCACTCGCACCGTGTGCTGTAGGCACAGGTTTCAGCCTTTCCTCGCGCCCGAGCTGTGAAGGCACGGAATGCCTCGTCGCGTTCCTGATGTAATTGTAGCAATTCGGTGCCTAGAACGCACGTTGCAACCGGGATGACGGCCAGTGAGCGCATAGCAGAGAGAAGATTTCCGAGGGATTCCGATGTCGCCTTATCGTTAGTCTTTAGAATGCTATCTCCCAGTGCGGGTCCAGCACATTGAAAGAGCTGAGWTGGGGCTGAAGTATCGTCTATGCCAGAGCCAGAGCGAAATACTTCCCAACGGCGGACGAATATGTTCCATTCCTCTATTGAAATKCCTATGTCTACTTTCGGCCGATCTAATTTCGGTCCTCTTGGTGCTGGGGCCTGGGGCGTTGTGGCAGTTGTTGTTTCTCGGTGTGCTATCCCATGGTTATTTAGTAGTGCAACGGCGACGGCGTCTGAGACATCCTCTGTCTTAAAGGTGCAGCTAGGAACAGAACACTCAACTACAACCATGATTCTATCATGAAGAAAGAGATGCTTCTCGATGTCAGATAGTGTTTTATTCTACAACGATGATAGAATCCTAAGATACAAATACATAGAATCTAAGCTAAATAATAACACTANGGCCCACTTACCTGTTGAAGTTGGTCTGACTACCTATACTACCAAGATCCGGACCTTACTTGACTACGCTTGCTCTATCTGGGGTGGTTTACCACAATACCTTGCAATGGAGCTGCAAACAGTGCAGGATCGATGTTTGAGGATTTTGGCCTTACCAAAGGACACTTTAGAACCGCTTGATAAAAGAAGAGACGAATTCACAAAGAAAGATATCGAACGAATTATTAAAAATAAGAACTTAAACCATTTATTACAACAGTCAACTAAAGTCAATCATAGTTACAGTTTAAGGAGGAAGAACACCCACCAAGTTCACGTTCCTATGTCCAAAACTAAGAGACACAAACAATCTTTCGTTCCCAGGGCGTTGGGACTTTTGAATGGGAACTGATCTGAATTTTACTCTTTTTTACTCTAGCGTATTATATATGTACTTTACTGAATTTTAATTCTATTTTACTCTAACTTTTTAAATATGTATTGAACTTTTTATACCTCTCTTTTTTTTCCCCTTATACTGTAAATAATCTGTACATATATTTATTTATTATACATATCTTGTAAAAAACACTGTACATATTTTCATAAGGTGTTTTAAATAAAGTTATTATTATTTATTATGAAAACATTGAAACTTAATAAATATTAATATTTACTGTACATCATTTTGCTCAAACAACTCGATATTTCAGGTTAAGATTTTATTGAGACTTCGTCAGGATATCAATTATATTATTAAGAAATTATTCTGAAAATCTTATTACAATCTCTGCGATGAATTTCGAGAAAATTAACTTTGAAGAAAAATCAACATGTTTTTATTTTGCATCGCTTATACAAATGGCTTCGTTATTTTGCAAATTAATTTATCAACAAGAATTATCGATAATCACTGTTTCTTCTGTGAAAATTTGAGTGCATTGGAATCGAAATTTGCGACGTAGTTGGAGTTTAAAAATACGCGCGAAGCGATATTTATTACGATCGAAACACCTTAATTTAACATACGAAGATACCTCAACTACTTATAAATGAATCCACGTTTTGTTTAGTAGAAGCATTTATAACGGTATGAACAAAAGAATACGTGTAAGGTAAATTCACGGAATTTTTCACTGAAAATAAATATACATTTCTACTGTAGAATAAAATGGATCAGTTTTAAACATGGTTTAATGCCAAGTATTTTCAAAAATCTGAGTGATGCACTATATGCACTATTGTTTCAAAAAAATCCTTATTTTAAACATACAAATGAAATCTTGCTTCCTCAGTTCCGTTATGTAGTCAAGAAAGTTTGTCAAACTAATTTTAATTTTAAACTTTTAAGAAAAGTTTGTCGTTTTGAAGTAAATCAATATTGATCGATATTGAAAGTCACCGATTTTTTTTCTCCCTATAAATGTCAATGTTTCAAAACCGGTTAAAAACGATATTTTTAAATCTATTTCCTACTGACCTCTGTAAAGCTGCGTCTAAACAGTCCTTACAAAATCGATGTCCACATCTTGTCTGTACGGGTTTTCGCATTGTAAGATGGCAAATACTGCAAATGTAGTCTTCAGGTACTTGTACGACAAACTGGTAGTCGTATCCAGACGGTAATTCAGTGTTACTAGCCATCTTACCAACACTTCCTCCTTCGAGTATCCTGATTATCCCGTTCAAAGTGAAACTAGCAGAATAAGGAATACATGGTGCGAGACGCTATGACGTCATACTAGTTCCCAGCTCATGGAGTTTTGCATGTCGTGGATTATATAGAGGATTTTACGTGTACGTTCCTAGATATGGATTTTATGATAAAGTTAAATGTGCTAAAATCCAACCCACAAACATATTTTAGATTAAAATGATCTAAAKAATTAAAGTAAAAATATAGCAGTTAGAGCTTGGAAACTGGAAATCGAAAGACTTGTCTTTGAGCAGTTGATCGTAGTTGAGCAGTTTATGGGAGCGTTTATCGTAAGCTGGGGACCGTTTTTTATYCTTAACGTGGTGTATGGGTTCTGTGCGCCGTGTGTCGGTCCCGAAACAATCAAAGTAGCAAAGTGGATGCATTACAGTAACTCTGTTTATAACCCCTTTGTATATGCCTGTATGAACAAAGACTTTAGAACATCGTTTATCAATATTCTTCTGGGCTGGAAGGTCTGTTTGCTGAAGATAAAGAGTGCCAATAAGTATCCACCGCTCGCCGATCCTTCTGGAGAATCAACTTTGAATAACTCTGCGTAGTCGATATCAAATCGATAATAGCAAAATTTGGTCATTGACGATTAGCAATACAGTNTAAACGATTACACATATAATCAATGGATAACTTACATGAATAAAGATATGCTAGTGCTGAATAGTCATGTATTATAGTCGTGTAATAAAACGCAATATTAACGTAAACAAGATGGCCGCTCCTACTGAGCCGGTCAGCGGTATCTAACTAGTGTCCAGGCCTTAGTGGCCGGTAGAGAACTCTTCAGAAATCGTTGATTTTCCATGTGTAACTATTGCGTGAATTGTAATCTTTGGGTATCAGTGCAATGCTAGACGCCTTGAGTTCCAAAACTTGTTTCTTGAGATCACTAATGCTTTCAGTGCTAGACGCCTTGAGTTCCAAAACTTGTTTCTTGAGTTCAATGTTTTCATCTTGAAGGGTCAATAGTTGTTGTGTGGTGATGTCATGATGTTCTACCAGGTTGTTTTTATAATGATCGCTTAAAGATCTTCGTGGTCCCTATAAATAGCCGACATTCACAAATCATTACCAACAAAATATAGAACAAAAGCTATGAATCAAATGTTTTAGTCACCTTAAAATTGCATCCAATACTGACGTAACTGCAGGGTACAATGGTCAGCGGACATTTCTCATCATGAGTCTATACAATAAGGGACAGCGCAATATTTATCAGTAGAACCCAGGGGGGGGGGGGGGCAATCAAATTTTATGTGCGGGGGCAACGTCTAAAATTAACTAGAAAGTATTTTGTATCGAATCGGATATAATTCTATATGGACTAGATTCACTTGGTGTGAGATATATAACTAGTAAGAGTTGCTGTACGTAGGCTGATACGTCAGGATCATCATAATAGTTTTTTTGGAGATTTTTTTTTCTTATTTTTTCGTTATTTCTGGCATTATTTCTTTGTATTATAAGTCATATACCTGGACATATCTCAGTTCTCCCTGCCAATCACAATGGTTCGGACACTTCATTTCGAGTGAAAGAATTTGTCGTTCTGTTGCTACATCTTCGAATATCTTACACAAAAAAGTTCATTAGTGCATTAAACAATGAAAAAAGCACTTTGACTGTAGTGCTGACTTACTTGCTGTGAACTCAAGGACTCATTGTCCAGAGGACATTTTGGCTTTCTGAAAAAAAAAATCATCAAATGCAGAATTTTTTCTAAAGGCAAAAGCTAGAAAAGGTAATATCTCTCCCAGTTGGAGCTTCGTTTTTTTTTTTCAAATTTCCTCCACGGAAGAAAGGGTGAAGCTAAGANGGAGGTTAATTTAAATTTAATCTTAAAATCCGTAGGATACTAGACCCATACAATTTTAGTTCATTTTTTGTTTGTTTGTTTTTGCTCGTCGTTATTGTATCGTATTCATCAGCATGTCTGAATAATTACATACACAGCATTCTGATTGGCTCACTCACTACCCTTTAGCTATTGATGATACTTCAGGTTCAAGCAATTTAGACAGTTTTTAAAAACACTATAATGTTGACACGAAGTCGCGAACTTACCGTTCACTATATTCTTCTACCTCAAACCGACTGATATGTACATGAAAATTGCCGTAAGATTTTAAAGAAAATATAGAGACCTGAAAGCTTAAGGATCAATAAAACAAACTGCTCAGGAAGAAAATCTGCTGTTTATTGTTAACCGTTATTGCTGTGAGTATAAAGATTGAGCTATACTTTGATCATTGTAAGTCGCGCACCGAGTACATAATGCTTTGTTTCGTCCACAAATAATGAAAACTATTCTTGGCCATACAAATATTCCCTTATACAAAATGGAAGCCATTTTGTTTATCTTTGTGCGTTATAACGCATGCGCGTCGCCATCTTGACCAAAAGGTCTGGCAATGCATACCTTTTGGCAAAGCCTTTACCTTCATAAGCCTCCGAGTTGTCCATTTTTTCTTGACAGTTAACCTCGTCCACAATCCCCTTAAACGTTCGTTTGAAAAAAAAAACTATCTTTCATTAGGAAAAACTCTCGCTCAAGTGGTTTTCATAGAGTTCCTAATTTAATAGTTTACCTAACAACCTTTACAGTGCGCAATATTTTACAGTGATTTACATGACATTAAGATAAAAATACACAATAATGCTGTCAGTACCGCAATATGATTTGTAAGAGTTTTCCGGGATTTTTACTGACACTCCCTCCAAATATCAGAAAATCGTTACCGAATTTTAGCCGTCAAAACAATGAAGGGAATAAAATGTAGGAAACTTATGTACTCTGTCAAGACCGATAAGCTTCGGTAAACGTGTCAGGTTACCTTTTTCAGAAGTTGTGTTAGATTTTAAAAGTTTTCGAAATCGTTTCAGTTTTGCACAGAAGAATCCAACTCAAACTTGATGAAAACTGCTCCATCGATGACATAGTTCTCTGTTTTTAATGTTTCATGGGAAACAAATTTGGGATGTCCTATTCCAACGTTTTCATTAGTTGTTGGTCTTTGAAAGCTAACTTGAATTGTATCGGGAATACTGTAACCGCCGTCGATGTTTTTTTCTCATCGAGTGCTCTGGTTTCTGGTCAAGCAGGGTAAACTTGTATTTCCAATTAAATGGCCAGGTCAATATTGTATCGTATTCACCTCGCATGATAATCATGAATACTGATACATGGGTTCCCTTGACATGACATTCTCCATTAGCATCCAAACTCAGTTTCAGTTTGTATCCATACTTGTGAGTGTAGAACAGTTCACTGTACAGTCTGATATTACGGCCTTCCTGCTTTGCAAGCTGTAGCTGTTTGCTGAAATCGTTGATTTTCCACGTGTAACTATAATGTGACTGATCGTCTTTTGACATCATCACGTCACAGAGAGATGGAGTCAGAGAAGGATCCTCCAATTCAAACTTGATGAAAACTTCTCCATCGACAACATAGTTCTCAGTTTTTAATGTTTCATGGGAAACAAATTTGGGACGTCCTATTCCGACGTTTTCATTAGTTTTCGGTCTTTGATAGCAATGATTACTTGTATCGGGACTACTGTAACCACCGTCGAAATTTTCCCTCGTCGAGTGCTCTGGTTTCTGGTCAAGCAGGGTAAAATTGTATTTCCAATCAAATGGCCAGGTCAATATTGCATCGTATTCACCTCGCATGATAACCATGAATACTGATGCATGGGTACCCTTGCCAACACCAACTCCATTAGGATATAACCTCAGTTTCAGTTTGTATCCATACTTGTGAGTGTAGAACGATTCACTGTACAGTTTGATATCACGGTCTTCCTGCTTTGCAAGCTTTAGCTGTTTGCTGAAATTGTTGATTTTCCACCTGTAACTATAGTGTGACTGATCGTCTTTGGTCATCAGTGCAATGCTAGACGCCTTGAGTTCCAGAAGTTGTTGTGTCGTGATGGTAAGATGGTCTACCAGGCTAGTTTTATAATGATCGCTTAAACATCTTCTTGGTCCCTAGAAATAACGAGAATCACAAATAAAATACAAAAAAATACAGAACAATTGAAAGCGATGAATCAGATGTTTTATTTACCTTAAAATTACATCCGATACTGACGTAACTGCAGGGTACAATGGTCCGCGGACATTATTCATCATGAGTCTACAATAAGGGAGAGCGCAATATTTATCAGGAGAACCCAGGGGGGGGGGGATCAAATTTTATGTGCGGGAGCAACGTCTAATATTAACTAGAAAGTATTTTGTTTTGAAACGGATATAATTCTATATGGACTAGATCCACTTGGTGTGAGATATATAACTAGCAATAGTTTTTCTTGGAGATTTTTTTTATTTTTTCGTTATTTCTGGTATTATTTCTTTATATTATACGTCATATACCTTGAGATCTCTCAGTTCTCCCTGCCAAATACAATGGTTCGGACACTTTATCTTGAGTGAAAGAATTTGTCGCTCGGTCGCTTTATCTTCGAATATCTTACACAAAAAAGTTCATTAGTACATTAAACAATAAAAAAAGCGCTTGACTGTAGTGCTGACTTACTTGCTGTGAACTCAAGGACTCATTGTCCAGAGGACATTTTGGCTTTCTGAAAAAAAAAATCATCAAATGCAGAATTTTTTCTAAAGGCAAAAGCTAGAAAGGTGATATCTCTCCCAGTTGGAGCTTCGGTTTTTTTCAAATTTCCTCCACGGAAGAAAGGGTGAAGCTAAGAAGACTAACTATAAGGTAAATATGGCATGAATAATGAAAAACATGCAAAATGACTGAAAAACACTAGAGCTAAGTCATTTAGTCCTTGAACGCGATCTGACTATTAAAGTGCGTGTAGTCAAACAGACAAAAACGAAGACAATGAAATTAGAGAGAGTATCTATTTGTATAGGAAATCGCACGACCTTGACGAGAGGTTGTGCGATTTTTTGTTTATAGTACATTCAACTTAATTAAKGAGTACAATTAACGCTGTAATTGTACTCCTCTCGACCAATCAGAATGTATTATTTTGTTGAATGTACTATAACACGGGTATCTGTATTTGTCTGTCTATGTCTATATAGCGTGAATTAGATAAGGAATTCAGTTCAATGTATACAGGACTAAGCTTTTCAGGGTTTTAAGAGTTTGCAATACAGTTGACTCTCTTTGAACGACCACTCTCGAAAACGACCATATCCCGTAAGCGACCTCCTTTTAAATTTCCCGTAATAATATTCCTGCTTATTATTTCTTTAACAAAGCGACAAATGAAATATGAAAATAGGGCGCGGAGCATTCTGGAAGCTGGAAGGCACTATATATACTGCCGTAGTTCAGATCTCCCATGCTAAGTTTCGTTCACCTGGTGTTTTTTTTTTATCAGTATCCGTACAGTTTTGTATGCATTACCATAATTTTATCAAAACAAGTTACGGTCACCACCCAAGGAATGAAAACATTGCGACAAATGAATATTAATTTACTCTAATGACTGATGAGATAGTCAAGGTTTGATTTGTAATAATGAAAAAAATATCGAGTGAAGTTAAATTAAACTTCGAAGATACATCAAATAAAGTACTGAATTCAAGTTGTGCATATTATCAGACGGATTGATAACGATAAAACAAATAATATAAGCAAGCTAAAATCATTGACACAGAGTATAAATAATTCACTTAATTAGTATATCATATTGTCTTAAGATCAAATTTAATCCATGAGTATAACAAAATTTTTCAAAATTCGGCATGAAATCTTACTTACTGCACATTAATTTACTTTCAAGCCCTCTTGAAGAAAGTTTGTCGAACTTTTCTAATTAGGTTTGTAGTTGATTGGTAATTCAATTTATTTCAGCCTCAATATCGATTAAATTTACCGATAAATTCGTTGAGGTTTTTTTTTCGCAATAAATGTCAATTATTCAACAGTTTTTAAAAGAGTTGACCTTTTCAAATCTATTTCCTACTGACCTTTCTAAGGCTGCGTCCAAACAATCCTTACAAAATCGATGTCCACATTTTGTCTGTACGGGTTTTCGCATTGCAAGATGACAAATACTACAAATGTAGTCTTCATGTACTTGTACGACAAATTAATAGTCGTATCCAGACTGTAACTCAGTGTTACTAGCCATGGTAAAAACACTACCTGCTTCAAGTATCCTGTCTAAAGTGAAACTAGCGAGATATGGCATACATGGGAGTCGCTATGACGTCATTTAGTTGACAGCTCATTGAGTTTTGCATGTCGTGGATTGGATTAAAAATACATGCATTATGTAAATTAAACTGTACACCATGGAAAATATTTTAGATTATT